GGCTCATCTCATGCAACGATGTATGGGCAATCAGCAACACATAAATCAAATTATCCTGTAAGACCCATCATTTCATCTGTTAACTCCTATAAATATAATTTCTCTAACTATCTTTATCAACTAATTAAAAATAATCGTCTATCAAATTCATTGGATTTTGTAAAGAAGATTATGAAAATTAATGATAGTTCTAAGCAAATAACGCTTAGTTTTGATGTTAACATTTATATCATTCTTTGGCCAACAATCATAACAGCTATTAGAAATTTTTGTATGCAATGTTCCATTTCGTTTTCGTGACAAAACATATATACAAATAGATGGAGTAGTTATGGGGTCTCCTTTAGGTCCTATCTTAGCAGACTTATTTATATTACATGTTTAATAAAAACTTAATTGATTCTCAAAAACCAGACCATTAATATGTGTTAGATATGTAGATGATATATATAGTTTGTATATTTAATGAACACCAAAATATTAATGGTTTTCTGATTAGAATACATGAATGACAATCTAATATTAAATTTGCAATCGAACAAGAATGCAAATGAAAAGCTAACTTTTTTAGATGTATTAATAAGCCGAAACAACAATAATAAAAATAAATATGATACTCCCATATATAGAAAACCGACTAACACTAATCTTTATCTACTATACGAAAGTAATCAATGCCGCGAATGTAAATTAAGCCTAATTCGAGCTCTGGTCATCAGAATTCCGATCATATGTTCAACACAAGAACTGAACAATAAAGAACTTGAATTAATGACTTATATCTTAATGAAAAATGGTTATCCACAGCATCTAATTAAAAGAGGAAGTTATGATTAAGAAAATGTTATTCATATTATGACCAAGAATCGGCAATATTAGCATATAGAATTAAACAAATATGCCGGAAATTATTATCCCTTATACAAGTCCACGTATCACTTCAGAAAACTTTTATTCTTAAGAGCGTCTATCGTTATCTTCAAAAAGGATCTGATGAATCAAGAAAGAAAAAACAAATTAATTTATAGGACATCATGCTTTGGTTGTGATACACGCTACATTCGTGAAACAAATAGAAAAAAAGTAACAAGAAGGAAGGAACATCAATCTGATATTTCATTTAACTTTGAACAATTACAACTTCTATCCTTCGATTTGAATTGGCGACGAAGGGTCATTAAAGAGAGCATATTCATTCACTGAACACAAGAAAAATGTATAAATCATATAAAAGTTAAAGTAAATATTTTTACTTAAAGAATTTACAAAATAATCTTAACTAAATGCGTTTAAATGAACTATAATAATATGTCTAGGAGCAAGTTTATGGGTCAGTATTATTTTCTGCGAACAATAATAATTCGAATTATTATTAGCTTTCTTTTAGTCTTGTAATTAGCTCTTTTTCTATCAATCAATAGTTGTCTATATAGAGATAATGTAATTTCCTTTCTTGTTGTTTTTCCTCACTATGATAAGTGTATCTTGTCGAAAGTTTGAATAAACAAATAAATGTGATTTTTCATAAAAATCTATTCTTTTTTTTTGTAGTAGTTCTATACTCAATATTTCATAATGTATTACACCGTACGAAAAAGATAATGAAACGAAGTTTTAATTTATTGAAAGTCAAACTTTAGTCGATTCATATTCCTGACAAATCGCATAAATAGGGCGTCAAGATATACAACATGACATGTACCAATAAATACACTTGGAATTTTACGATTTATACCGGGAAGCAAAAGCCAATGACTCGTCTTGGATATCCTCAAAAAGCCATAATAATTTTATTAAGAGACCTTTTGTGTGCTATCGAACTGTAGTAGCTGGCAACTACTTTATCCGTATTTTTCTTGCAGAACTAAAAAAATTTCTTAATTATACAACGCGGTTTTTAAAGAAGACTTGATCGAAAATACAGATTTGTTTTTTAATCTTTAGTTTTTACAATATCAAATATTGTTAATAGCATATTTCGGGTATAGATAGTTAATGGTAAACCAATCATTAACTGCCTTATTTCTCTATTTGTGAACATATTCATCAAAGCGAACGATGCATTTTGTTTCTTTAGAGTTCATATCATTTATTCTTTTTTTTCCTTCTGTTAATTCATGTTTAGAGAAGATACATTTGATGTTCATCTCTAGGGCTGCGATCTTAATTTCACGTTGAACTAAAGCACCCCATTTTTATTCCAATATTGAATATCCTTTAATTTATTAGATGATGAGGGAACGTCTTTCAATATCAAACTGCTCTTTACTGAGATATTGTATTTTTACGGTATTTTTAACGTCAATGCTGAGGTCCTCTTCAGAAATAGCAGGAAAATCAAGTTTCGAATAATTTTGACTGAAAACTTTGCACACATAGATATATCTTAACGGAAATAAATTATTGTTAAAGTTTCAGATCATTTTGTTTTTCTTATCGTAAGATACGGCAATGGTAAAAGCATGTTTTTACATCACTCACATGCGCTGGCAGATTCTGATGTTCTTATTTTAGAATGGGGGGAATTAAAAAAACCTGAAACTTTCACAACAAACTATTCTCGTTAAAGACTGTTTCTGTGCAAAGTTTCAAGTCGAACATCGAAGCTGAGTTTTCTTGGTGTTCCTGAGGGGACCACGGCATTCTGCTAGAAAATAGAATATCTCGACAGTAATAAGCTATTAGCCTGAACTTTTCTCAGGGTATTCAAAGCTCATTAGAACTTGCATGATGCGCGTAGTCCTGACTACATAGAATTTTTTTTGAGATCGTAGCCGTGATATGCACTCAGATTAAAACCATTTAAATAAAAATTCATTCTTTTTTTTTTTGATAGATAGTTGCCACATTTTAGTAACTAATTCTCGTGTATATCTGTATCAAAGAGCGATAGAGAGAGGGGCTAAAAAGGAAGAGATATTCTCTACTTGAATGCAAATAATCATTAAAGAAATAATAGAACAAAAAATACTGATGACCATAAGGGACAAATGTTTTTATTTTCTTCTGTCTACATAGTCAGTTTATATATGATATGCAAAGATTAATGTCCATGTGAAATTATGCACTTATCTTCTCTCTATTATAGTAAATCATTATGTATCACAATTCTGGTTATCAATAGTCAATTTTCAAAGTATTTGTTCTTCAACAATTAAAGAAAAAGATATCAGAAAGTAAAATCTAAGAACAGAAATATTTAGTCATAGTTGATGCATTTTAAAACTTTCGATTGAAAAGCGTTTCCAGTAAAATGGTGCACAGAGTTGGTCAAAACGTATTTTACTATCATCTAAAAGATTGTTTAAAACTTTCAAAACATATTAAATTAAATAGGCATTTATAATTTTGTCATTGCTCTATTAATATCCAGCTAGAAAGTTGACGCTAGATAGATCAGAACTCAATATATCAATAACATTCTATTTTAAACTCACTACACAGTTGAAAATCTCATCAATTTTCGTGTTTTAATGCATTAAGAGTACTCCCCCTTTTTGACTATTTCTGGTTTTTGAAGACTGTATAATCGATCAAACTGAAATTTTTACCACAGATATAGTATCAAAAATAAGGAGACATGCATTTGAGGAAAAAATTTCGAAGTAGAGTTTTGCTGAGAAACTCTGGCTTTCCAAAGGGCTGCATCCCGGTACATGACAAGTCCCATTAAACTTTACCTCTGAAAAATACTTCCAAGTATCAATGTTAAAAATTTCAGCCCGATTGAACAAAGTTAGATGGAAATCATTAGAAACCAGGATGCCGTTATACGGAAAATCAGGGTTTTCTTAGCAAAAATCCACTTCGAAATTTTTTCTTTGAACGCGTATCTCTGTATTTTTGGTGTAAAAATTTCAGCTTAATCGGTTGTACCTTCCTTGAGAGCCAAAAACAATCATAAAAGAGAGAATATCCTTAATATTTAAAAAATTCGAACATTTTTTATGATGTACACGGTAACTTGTGAATAAAAAAAGAAGTTAACGAAGCATTGGATTTAATTTATCTTGATTAGATTTCTAAATCATTTTTTGTGTCACTCCCTTATGAATATAATGATAGATCTATTTGATAAAATAGTTGAAGATATACACTAGGAAAGATTAGCAATGTTCACTTGAAATCAGCAATAAGTTTTCTAGATCTTTGAATTTAATAGTTTATCAACAAACATAAGCCTCCTATCTATTAACATCTCATTAGAATAGCGTGGTTTATTTTTATGTATTAATAAGAAACCAGCAATTTAATACGTTTCTTCTCTTAATCTGTTAGTTTATCGGATAAAGAATGCATCATAAAAGAAAACTGAGGCACGAAACTCAAAAAAATGAAGTTCACACCTGTAAGCAAAGCCCAAGAAATAAACAGTGATAAAATATCTACTTGTATAAAGTTCTCAAGGAAGAAAAACATCCACCAAGTGAAAGAATCAAAAATAATAATTATGTACTTTGTCCTTTGAGATTACATAGATACGACGTGTTCTACTTTTGAAAAAACTATCTTTAATAATTTCTTTATGTGTTGTCTCATTCATTTCATATATTTTAAATATAAAGTACACATATCATCATCATTTGTTTTAGTTATGTCTTGTAAATAAATTTTTGAAATCAGAGATTCTAATGCTGTGTTTACTTCAAATTAGATTAAATCAATGTTAAACATCAATGCGTCTGTTTCTTATATTTATCATGAAGCTTTAAGCTAGTAGCATCGAAACAAAAAATCGCGAAAGTAACATACGTTTGATCTTCTTTCAGTTATACTAATCATGCTAACAAAATAAAAAATATAATGAGGAGAAAAGAATAGTTATGATAAAAGAAAAAAAGCAAATTAAATGTCCCATTTATCGTCCTTAATACCACGGACAACAACACGAGTTGTTATTGCTGTAGCCAAAGCAGCAAATGCCCAAAACCAGAAACCAAGTCGAGGTAATCGAAGCCAATTTCGACGAAGTTTTGCAAGTGATTCTAAGGTAGCAGTTTTTTTCTGATTATAAGGTGGATTACGTTTAGCAAGAAGAAATTCCGACCACATAGGTGAATAAGCAACTGAACGCATATGACTAAATGTATCAAATGAATATTTCCCATGATAATTTCCAAGACCACTTTCACCAACACCACCAAATGGTAAACATGGTGGAGCTATTTGAAAGATAACATCATTAACACAAGTTGAACCTGAACTTGTTGAATTAATAATTGTATTAGCTAAATTTTTATTTGATGTAAATACATAAAGAGCTAATGGTTTTGGTCGAGTATTTATAAATTCAATAGCTTCACGTTCATTATTAACTGTTATTATTGGAAGAAGTGGTCCAAAAATTTCTTCTTGCATTACTTTATCAGCTGTATTGACATTTGTCCTAATAACAAAAGAAAAAGAAAAACAAACGATTGAAATTTTTTAAAAAAATTTTAAAGTTTTTCTTTTTTTTTTTATACATAATTGTTGGTGCAATATAATTTTGTTTAGCATCTGTTTGTCCACCATAAACAACTTTTGTTGTATCAATTAATTTTTTTACACGTTCAAAATGTCGTTCATTAACCATATGACAATATGAATCCGAATTAATTGGATCATCTGTATAAAATGATTGCCAAGCTTTAGCTATTTCTGGTATAAGACGACTTTCTGTTTTTTTTGAACATAAAAGATAATCAGGTGCTAAACTAAAATAAAATAAAACAAAAAAAAAATCTTAATAATTCTTTTTTGTTTTTTTGACTAGAAAAATACTTTACCATGTTTGTCCACAATTAATAGTTTTGCCCCATGCAATACGTTTACCAGTAACTTCTATATTAGCATCATCAGCAATATAAACTGGACATTTACCACCACATTCAAGTACAACTGGTATCATTTTTTCTGCAGCTGCTCTCATTACAATTTTACCAACCATTGTTGAACCCGTATAAAATACATGATCAACATCACCTTTAAGTAATGCTTGAGTTTGATCAACAGCACCAAGTACAACACGAATACAAGATGGATCAAGATAACGTTCAACCATTTTTGCAACAATAACAGCTGAATTTGATGCTAATTCAGATGGTTTTATAATAGCACAATTACCAGCAGCTAATGCACCAATTAATGGTGATAATGTTAATAAAAATGGATAATTCCATGCACCTATAATTAAACAAATACCAAATGGTTCAGGATGAACACATTTATCCATTGTAGCATATGCTAATGAATCTGAACGATATTCATCACGTGCCCATTCATCGATATGATTAAGTGTATGAATACATTCATTACGAATCTATAGAAACACACGTAAAAAAAAAATATATTTTTTAAAAATCAGAGAAAAACTTACAACACCACAATCGTATAAAAGTGTTTCTGCACTTGGTCGATGAAAATCAGCATGTGCTGCTGAAGCAAAAACTTCTTTTTGTTCATCACACATTTTATATAATTGTTCAATTTGTCTTTTACGCCATGCAATCGATTTTGTTTTACCAGAATTAAAAGATGCACGAAGCTCTTGGAATATGTTTGGTATATTGTCTAGTGGTGTTTCAGTCATTGCTAATGATGTCTAAAACCCAAAGAAAAAAAACAAAGATACTCTCTCGATTTATTAGGTAAAGTAGAATAGTTTGGCTTTTATCATCACCCTCTCCCCCTCAATAGGTGTTCTCACTTTTAATAAAAACAGATTTGCTCCTATCTTTATAAATAATAAAATTAGTTAATTATCCTATTGCATGAAGGTAAATACAAATTGTAGGAATAAACAAAAGATGTCGCACACGATTGACAAAAGAAATGTATAAATCTTAAAGAATGTATAGATAATTTACTAATTTATTCCTAATTGAAAGATCAAGACAATTCTAAGTATTATTAAAAAACAAAACAAAGCAAATAAACATGTTCTCTATTAAAGAACCAAAGATAAGAGCAAAAACGTTAATGTACAATTTCAAAACATTTTCTTGACACTGGTCGTGATTTATAACCAATCTGTAGCTACACAAATGAAATAATTATTGATACCCTTGAGAACTTAAAATACCTTTTAGATAGCATAAAGATCGAACTACTCGATAGAGCGTCATTGACTCTATATCCACACCCACACCAACAATTACATTGCTTTTTCATGACTCATGAAAGGTCACAGTTCTTTATTGAAGTCAACAATGATACTTCAAAGCAATGTTTGTCAAAGTTTTTCTTATAAATATGATCTATGAACACTGTCGTATCAGTGACAGAAGAGTCAACTCATTTAGTCAAAACACAGTGGAGACATTCAAATTTTTAGGTCACCCATTAGACACATACTACTCTTTGATAAAAATTTATATCGATAAATACATCAGCAGAGAATTGCGTTGTATTCTTAATAAAGAAATAGAATACAAGATAGATCCCATCAATGCTGTACAATTACGATAGTTCAATAGGACAGATCAACTTTATATCACTTTTTTCTTTGTATCTACTGACGCTTTTCCAACGAAATATGACAGGTTAAAGTTTACTAAATTCCTCTGCAGAAAACCTGGCCAGTAGTCTTGTAACAACTCATTAGTTCATGACTGACACATTTATCGATATATATTTTAATTAAAGAACGGCGTGTATCTATAATGAGAGTTTGAGTGTGGAGTGACGTTTGGAGGTGATTGCATAGGGCACGAGCATGAGTTTCAGTGCGGTTCTAGCTATAAGTTTAATGAATATCAACTGTTACACTCACCTTCGTCTACTCTCAGCAGTTTTGAAATATTTTACCAAGATATTTTTACCAGAAATGTTCCGGAGATAGATTGAAGTAGCATTGACATTAGAAAACAACTAACTGCAGATAGGCGCGATGTGGGAGTTTGTGTTAATCTTCAATTTATCCAAACCCACGCCCAAATCGAGCATCTTCCCTATATTCATTGAAATTCTATCAATGGCCTTCTTTATTTTTGTACAACTCATTATTTGAACTTAGAAGTATTTAATATGAAACTCAAATTAACTCACATTATATACTCCTCTACAATGGATATTATACAAGTGAGAAACAATCTCGATAAAAATTGAATCTGTTTTCTTTTTTTGGCAACGAAAATGAAGTATCTGACTTAAGTTTATCAGAAAATGCTGTCGATAATGTGCAGACTAATAAGCTCTACAAAACATTTTATTAGTCTCATAAATCCTTTTAGAATACATGTCGTTTTCAAAGTCTCTTTCATAGTAATAAAGACGGTAAGGGTGTGGGTGGGTGAGTGTTCCTTCTATTCATAGCCACACCCACCCTTTGAGGCAAAATTTTAAGGCTCCTTCACCCGTGCCCCTAAAAAATATCGAGTTTTGTCAAAAAAATGAAACTTTAGATAAATGTATAACTGAATACTATGAAGCATGTGCGTTCATACAGTTTTTTTTGTACAGCTTTTCACGGCGGATCTGCTCAAAAAAAAACAAAATTTTATCATCTGCCTATGCGGAGATATTCGCAAAAAAAGCATAGTTTATTTTGCGACATCTGGAATTTCAAAAACTTTCATATTTTTCTCAGAACCTAAGTTTGATAGAGCATCTCCAGCGCCATTCTACTGCAGTACAATATAAAGTCAAATATTTTTTCTGTTGGAAAGCTTATCTCTAGGACTACCCTACCTCGTGGCCCATTTCCTAAAAGAAGTCTTTTTTAATTATATATATAGACGCTTATGTAAATTGGTGCTCATTTTTAGCGCGTTTCTTGAGCCATTGAACTTGTCATCCCTTTTCTTTGCTTAAAAAGTAAAAATTTAAAAAAAAAAGAGCCACGAGGTAGACTAGCCCTGGAGACAAGCTTTCAAACAAAAAAAATTATATGTACAAAATGAATATCCACAGAGAATTTTTAGAGACAAGATGAGCTATTTTTTGACCCTTGTTTGGTGGATATCTCTTTCAAATTACATGCGATAGCACTTCAAACTTTATCATAGCCTCCCCGTTACAGTCCCAACATATCCTGAAATCTCTAGAATTTCTTGAATTCCAAGGTAATATCGATAGTGAGGATGAAAGCATTCGTGTGTTTTAAGACTTTAGTGAAATTCAAGAAAATCAAGCAATTCAACAAAATTTCTAAAATTTTCTTGAATTCCTGGATTTTCTTTAGTTTCGTCGTAGTTTAGACTTATAAGTCCCTTTGTTATGTGTATTTGTTGAATTGTTTGAACTGCTAGAATTTCGTTGAATGGCCAATTTCTGGATCGTGATTGTATCTCTTTTTTTGGTTGATCCCTTGCGTCCGAAGGCATATCTCAACTAAAACGGTATGCTCAGTAATGATGTTGTGAAGATTTCTAGAAACTATGGAGAAAATCAGAGAATGAAAAAAGAAAAATACTTTCATCGTCGTTTCTTTCCGATGTATTCAGTGTATTCATGTAATGTGTTTGTATATAAGGAGGCGACATCTAGAATTTGTCTTATTCGACTGTTTATCTTTGAATAAAATAAAATTTGTCAAAGAATAGATTAAAATTAAAAGAAATAAATTGAAAACAATAAGAAAGATTTTTATTGAAACAGCTGATTGGATAAAAAAATTCACGTAAAAGTGTATCTTATCTTAACCACTGTTTGCATGACAGGTATAACGAAAATCTAGAGAACATCTACTCTTGAGGATGAACATTATCTTTTATACATTCTATAGGAAAAGAGAATGTTTGTAGTAGATTCTGCTAAATAAAATCCAGATTGAGTTGAATACTTTAAAGATTGTATGTAATATTAAATAGTGAATTATCTATCAATCATAAACGAATACAAGACAGGATGGTTAGTTATTGTTCCTTCTTCGTGCCACTCAACACTCGCAAGGTTGCTAGCGGGTCAAGACCGAACAGAAAAAGTTGTCTTGTGCTCATTGAAGAAAATAATACAAACGTTATTTTTTGTTTTAGATTGAGGAAAATTTCGTTTTCGTAGAGTTTGATGTGTTTGACTGACGAAAAGAAAGTGTAAAAATCCATTTTAGTTGCATAAGGAAAGGTTACAAAAAGATTTTCACTTTGAAAAGTCATCTAAATTGGTATTTTTATGTATTTTTGTCGAATACTTCGTCCTTATTATAAATTATTAAAACACTCGAAAAGCCTTTCATCATTATCTTCATATCGTGATCGATCATTTTACAAATATTTTGTCGATTTTCAAACACGGTAAATCCTTTTGATTAAAATTCTTTAAATAATAATAATAAAAATTAGATTGCGTGACAATGATTGTTATGGTTATGTTAATTATGTTGTTTATGGTGAATGGATTGATTCAACTATTGATAAATTTTTAATTGAACAATGCTCATTTGATCATTCAAAATCTCCATTACTTGATTATGTTGTTTATTCTCATTGTGAATATTATAGTCCACTATCATATCCATCAATAATTTCAGC